TTATCCTAGATTTTGGTAAAAAGGTCTTAAGCCAAGGAAGTGTCCAATGACTCAAAGAATGGGACACCCTTCCTGGACAGCCTGATAGAGCCCCTTAAAACACGGACAGTTCGGTGGTGATCCTATTTAAGCCATGAGATGTGTGCTTTAAAAGAGATTGGCTCACTGACTTATTCATGCGATCGTTCAACCAAGATTTATTTATTGGGCACCGAGCGAGTATCAGGAGTTGTGCTGAGAGGTAGGATTTGGAGATGAAAAATAAACTCCCTCCCTGCCCTCAAATGTGATGCAGTAGAGAATTCAGTTTGGGGCATAAGATTCTGGCAATATAATCTCACTGGGCCTCAGTTTCCTTATTGACAATATGTAGATGGTAACATTTTCTACCTCCAAAGGCTAATGTGAGAATTTGCTAACACTTTCAAAACACTGGACCATGTTGAGCACAGCTCCATTGTTTGTTTACTTATGTACAAATGGTAGAAGTCCCCTGCTTTATTAAGATACTAATAGATATTAAGTTTTATAGGTAACAGAACTTAAGTTTCATAGGAAAAATTCAAGGCCCTTTACACCCCCCAGAGGGTGTAAGAGTGAGTTTGCCTGATGGTGAGGATAAAAGTTCAGAGCCAACATATCAGATACCTGGGTTGCAATTGGTCTTGAGAACTTTCCAGAATCCTAGAATATCTCCCTAGAATATTGTGTCTCTTTCAACACAGAGGCCAAAGTCCTTTCTACTGGTCCTGACCTGATGCATCTGTCATCTTAGAAGCCACCCTTCTACCTGGATTGTCCCCCGGTACCAGCTCCCTGACAGAAGTAGGTCTTTTTATAGCCTTGATGAACCTCTCACTGTCAAATGCCCAATTTCGAGCACAGGCACATGTGCTAACCTAGCCTTGCTGCTGTCGGCGTGTCATCTCCTCTGTGAGCAGCCAGACGCCAGTGCACAGACCTCTGGGTGGCACAGCTGTCCATCGCCTGTACTGTCAGCTCCACAAGGAAATGGGGGAAGTGTTAGCTCCGGAAGGTGGAGTCATCTGCCTGATGCCACACGGTAACAAATCTGTGGATGTGAACCAGTCTCCAATGCCAGAGCTCATGCCCCTTACCCCACAATGTGCTGCTTCTAAAACAGTGACATGATGAGAACCAGGCTTCGGGGCAGGAGCAGTGGATATCACCTAAATGTATAGTTGGAGTGCCTTTGGGAGCCTCCTTGGAACTCCAAATAATTCTCCCATGATAGGGACAGAGTGTCTGAGATCTCACCATTCTATTCTAGTAGAGCTCCCTTTGGCCTGGCACTCAAGACCTCCATTACCCCTCATCTAATCACCCCCATGCAAATGATTCCATGGCCAATCTGACTGGCTTCCCAGCCCCTCCTTCACTCCACCCTGCCTGGCTTCCTGTCTCTCTGCCTCACTTCACGCTCTTGTTGCCATTTGGCAAACCTTAAAACTTGGCAGCAATGAATGCCTAACAGGTGCCTGCTAAAAGAATACATTTCTTGAACCTCCACATTACTCTATGAACCTTCTTTTATAATGTAAACATGACATGGATATCAAGATAAGAACATGGACTCTGTACTATTTACTAAGATTGGGATGGGAGAAGTTTTAGTTTTTGTTTTTTTTTAAGTTTATACATGCCATATATGTCATACATGTCATATATATATGACAAGGTCATATTACCTTGATTTTTAGTTTTTTTTTTGAATAGTTTTATTGTCAAGTTGGTTTCCATATAACATCCAGTGCTCATCCCCACAAGTGCCTTCCTCCATGCCCATCGACCCCTCCCGCTCCCCCCACCCCCATCAGCCCTCAGTTTGTTCTCAGCATTCAAGAGTCTCTCATGGTTTGCCTCCCTCCCTCTCCCCCACTATTTTTCCCCTTCTTCTCCCCCATGGTCCTTCGTTAGGTTCCTCCTAATCCTCCTATAAGTGCAATCATAGGGTATCTGTCCTTCTCTGCCTGACTTATTTCGCTCAGCATAACACCCTCAAGTTCCATCCACGTTGCTACACATGGCCAGATTTCTTTTTTTCTCATTGCCATGTAGCATTCCATGGTATAGATAAACCACATCTTCTTGATGCATTCATCTGTTGATGGACACTTAGGCTCTTTCCATGTTTTGGCTACTGTTGAGAGTGCTGCTGTGAACATTGGGGTCCATGTGTCCCTATGCATCAGCACTCCTGTATCCCTCGGGTAAATTCCTAGCAGTGCTATTGCTGGGTCATAGGGGAGTTCTATTGTTAATTTTTTAAGGAATCACCACACTGTTTTCCAGAGGGGCTGCACCAGTTTACATTCCCACCAACAGTGTAGGATGGTGCCCGTTTCTCCACATCCTTGCCAGCATCTAGAGTCCTCTGATTTGCTCATTTTAGCCACTCTGATTGGCGTGAGGTGGTATCTCAGTGTGGTTTTGATTTGTATTGGGGTGGGAGAAGTGTTTAAACAATATTTTACACATACTTCCTCTCTCTCTCTCTTTTTTTTTTTTTGCAAATGGATAGAGGGTAATAATTACTTTATAATAATAATATATGAAAAACAAAACCATAAAATTCCTAGAAGAAGATGTCGGGACTAAGTTCCTTGACATCAGTCATGGTAATGTTGTCAGGGAGGGATCTGACAACGAAAGCAAAAGAAACCAAAACAAAAATAAACAGGTGGGAAAAATGAAAAGCAACCTACAGATTGGGAGAAAAGATTTGCAAATTATATATCTGATAAAAGGTTAATATGCAAAAATGTAAAGAACTCATACAACTCAATAAAACATTTTATTTAAAAATGGACAGAGTATCTGCATCAATATTTTTTTTGAAGAAGGCATATAAAAGGCCACCAGGCACATGAAAAGGTGCTCATCAGGAAGATGCAAATCAAAACCACACTGAGATATTACTTCATACCTGTCATAATAGCCATTCTCGAAAAGAGAAGTAATAACAAGGGCTGGTAAGGATGTGGAGTGAAAAAACTGTCTTGCACCATTGGTAGTAATGTAAACTGGTGCAGCCACTGTGGAAAACAGTATGGAGGTTCCTTAAAAAATTAAAAATAGAACCTACCATATGATCCAGCAATTCCATTCTTGGGTATTTATCTGAAGAAAATGAAAACACAAATTCAAAAGGATATCTTCACCCCCATGTTCTTGCAGCGTTATTTATAACACACAATGGACCCTCTGCGTCCATCAAAAAATGAATGGATGGGGCACCTGGGTGGCTCCGTTGGTTAAGTGTCCCACCTTGGCCATGATCTCAGTCTCAGTGAGTTGTGTGAGTTCAAGCCTTGAAGGGCTTTGTGCTGACAGCTCAGAGCCTGGAGTCAGCTTGGATTCTGTCTCCCTCTCTCTCTGCCCCTCCCCCACTCATGCTCTGTCTCTCTCAAAAATGAATAAATGTCAACATTTTTTTAAAAATGAATGGATTAAGAAAATGTGATTATATGTATATAATATATATGAAATACTTCCAGTCATAACAAGATTATATATAATATATAATATACATATATAATTGTCATAACAAGATTATATATATAATATATATTATATATATATAATTCAATTATAAAAATAAGGAAATCCTGTCATTTGTTACAACAGGTATGACCCTTGAGGGTGTTATAACAAGCGAAATAAGTCAGGCAGAGAAAGACAAATACTCTAGGATCTCACTTATATGCAGAATCTAAAAACAAACAAGCAAATGAACTCATAGATACAGAGAATAAATTAGTTCTGGTTGCCAGAGTCTGGGGAGGGGGGGCAAAATAAGTGAGGGTGGTAATAAACAAACAATTTGGGGAGATGCCATCCCTCAAAGCGCTAACATATGACCATATGCGATACATGAGGATGAATTACTGATGCCCTTCCTGGTCCAGAACTGGGTAAAGCGTATTGGGCACCTTGGGGGAGAGGTCTGTGGAAACGAGATGGGAATTTCAGGAGAGGCACTATCTATTCTTTGCAGCCACAAAGTGGTGGGTGGGTAGGGAAAGTTGCTGAGGGCGGTGTTTTTAGAAAACTTGGTGGCAGGAAATCGGTGTTGGGCGGTGACTAAGGAGATGAAATCCCCCAAGGACGACTAGCCTTTGTATGGAGGCTGGGTTGTTTTCTTTTTTTCTTTTTGTTTTCTTCCTTTTTTCCTCCCCCCCCCCCCCCCCCCCCCCCCCCCCCCCCCCCCCCTCTCCTCCTC